GTTGCATAACCTTAACATATTGCAGAGCGGCAAAAAAACTCGGTCGAGCGAATTCGCGCTGATTTTCAATAAAATGATTTGTTTTCTAAGCACTTAGTGACAAAGTCGCAGACACAATCGGCGATTCGCCTGGTACAGTCGTACGCAAATGTGTGGTGTGCTGAGATATTAAATTGTTTTGGCGGAATCATGAAGATGAAGAAGACAGTGACGTATTGCATTAAAGGGAATTCGCTGTGCATCAAGTACTCTACTAAAATTATACCACAGGTTAGTCATCCAAATATTAATATCAACATAAGTATAAGTTTGGATTAGGACTTGACTGTCATTACGTATGCACAAAATTAGAAACATACGAGAGTACATAGACTGCCAAACACTCCTCCTTTGGTCGGGTTAAAAAGTTTTTAAAATGGTTTTTTCTCAATAATGATCAGGCCCAATAGGTACTTAGCCTAACAGTGTATGAACCGTACTGCCACGATACCCATTCGAGGGTTGCTAATTCGATCACATTATCAGCTTAGTTGGAAGAAAAAAAGATTTGACTTTACTTTATGCGGATGTAATAATTAAATACAATAAGTTTTTATGTGATGTGTCGGGTATTTTTGTTGATTACAATCCAAGTTATAAATAATAACTCTATGAGGAGACGCCGCGACGTTTTTTGTAGGCACTCTACATTTGGAATTTGATGGTACCTCAACTCGTTTTGTTTAGATGAAGGAAGAAGTCAGTTAATTTTTACACTTGACAGGTGTTAATCTAACTTAAGCGTTTTTTTAATGGATGAATAATTATTCTGATATAAGAGTAGGTACTACGTTAAACCGCCCGTATTTTAAATACGTTTACAAATGGCCATTGAACTAAAGTTGTAATAAAATTCCAGCAAATAGCAATTAAGACTAGTCTATATTTATTTATAATATAAAAATGAGTTGGTAAGCGCATAACTCAACAATGCGTGGACCAATTTTACCAATTAATGTTCGTTGAAGTTCAAGGATAATTTTTACGGCGAGAAAAAATCCAATAATTTCCGGGAAAACCCTGGTCAAAGCCGCGGGCGGAAAGCTAGTTTCTAAAAAATCATATAATGAAGATTAGATTCAGTACAGATTTTCAAGTATTCGCTTACTAGAAACAAATGAGTTCAACATGCCAGTTTACAGGGCTTTAAACTAAAACGGTAGCAAAATATGTTTCTTTCATATGTTAATTTTAGCATACATATCTACATAAGTCGCTTCATATTGAACTCGATTTATACTATTATCTGACACAGGTATAATCAAGGTGTCTTACAAGGTAACAATGTGCCCCTTTTAAATTCAAATGTTACAACTTAAAATATATTTAGCAGGTGTACGTGTACATGTAGCTCATCAGATTGTACATTATNTACGTTTTCGTTGCAAAATAAACTCTATTATAACTACATAAGATCCCAGTGTCAAGCTTGATGTGCTGTCTGTTGTTGTTAAATTATCTTTTATGTTGTGTAAGCAGCAGCTAATTAAATACCCCCATTACGTTTTATTTGCGTCATTAATTACGATCTTGACAAAATTATCAATGAAACTGAAACAAAGCATTTTTCCTGGTCACGCGATTTTGAACAAGCCTGTTTTTTCTAGATGTAAACAGTGTAGGTTTTTTTATAATATCCATTCTTTTTAGATCTTAGATATAAAATACAATGAATATGTTTTCAACATTGCTTATTGCTAGATTCTCCGGTTGGTTTCCGAATAAAACGAATGAAAATCGGAAAACTAAATTAAAATTACATAGCACAGTTATGTTTCACTATAAGCAAGCAGGTGTTTTAGCTTTCACAAGTAGGTATATTTTCTAAATAGGAGTTGATGTGATTACATGCCTCGTCTTATACCTACATATCTTTAAATTTGTATTTAAAACACTTTATTTATTGCCCGGGGACTGAGCGAGAGGAGTGTTTTAATAAGGGTTGCAATCAACATACGGATTTGATAAAACCGTATAGGATTATTTAATTGCTTTAACGTGCTAATGGAAATACAAACGTAGTAACGCCCGCATTCACAAACATTACTATGAGGTCTCACAGTGCGCGTGGACGCACAGGGTGACACACAAACCAATCACAGAGCTCTATTCGACGCTGTGCTATTTGCTGCTTCACTTAAGTAAGCATGGTTTGTGAAAACGGGCGTAAGTAATGCTAATAAAATACGTTTTCTTAGTTGCGGTGAGTACTCGTAGTAGGATTTACATAATTTTTTGTTTCGTTTTTTGTCTGTTACATCTCTTTGTTTGCTTAATTTGAAGGAGTTTCCCACAGCCTTATTTAAAACAATTTTATGGGGTATGAACACCAAACACATTTGGTTTAGAATACATTACTTTGGTTACTTTCAAAGAATTGCTTTAAGCATAATCCTACCGATTGCTACTGATTTAAATCTAGTTTAGTGTACACTAGCGACCCGCCCCGGTTTTGCACGGGTGCTAAGTAAGTTTACATATAAACCTTCCTCTTGAATCACTATATATTAAAGAAAACCGGATCAAAATCCGTTGCGTAGTTTTAAAGATCTAAGCATACATAGGGACAGACAGCAGAAAGCTACTTTTGTTTTATACTATGTAGTGATTAGGGTGTATTTCTATTAAAAGATAGCTCTTATTGCCACTACATAAGAAGAACAATGTCAAGCTTGATGTGCTGTCGTCTGTGCATCGCTATGTAGAGAACATGCAAAATTTAAATTCCACTCGCCTACGTCAATGAATTATTTAGTATAATGAACTAATTACGTGCCTAGTTAATGCTTGTTCTTAATGATAATTTACAATAAATTCAATGAAAGTAGAATAATACCATTTTCTCACAAAACAAAACGTACCGACTAGATTTCGCGTAAACTTCTGTGCACCAACATAGTTACAGTTTTAAATTGTAAATAAAATAGGGTTGCCTAAGGTGTGATTTGAACCCACTTGCTGGCGACTGCTCTTTAATTTAATTCTTAATTTTCACCTTGTTTTATGTATGATAGAGCTTTTTTACGAGCTTTAAGGACAGATTACTAATTTCTTCAAAATAGATTTTGAATAACAATGGACTCGTACACTTCTGTGGTCACAGACAATAAATATCAGTAGCATTTAGTGCGCTATTTCCAAATCCTCCGATTCACAGCATGGCGCCTGTGTCGCGGCGCCCGCGCATCTTTCCGCGTCGATGTGTCACTTATTTCTATTTCCGAGAGGCGCCAGTGACTACTGAGGGATGGACAGCCTGCCATCTTTGTAATAAAACAAAAACTTAACGCTCACTTGTCACTCTACCATGTATAAGTACGCTCAGAAGGAAAATAAATTATTAGTTTCAAATTGACCAACGCCTTATTTTCAGCAGGGAAATCTGCCACAAAATAAGGAATTTTTCCAATAGATTACTAATTTTTAAGTCTTCACAGTCAGTTTTAAAGCCAAAACAAAGTTATCCTTTTGTGGAAAGCCGTACTTAAATTGATACAGACAGAATGACTATACATATTGTCATATCCTGAAAATATCGGGGAAAATGGAAATTAAAATTGCCGCTTCAAAACAACCTTTTAACCCTTCGATGATACAACATGTACTCACGACAGTACATATTTTTTGTTGGAAAATATCACCCATTACAACTTATTAAGATTCAAAAGCTTGAAAGCTTGAGTTTCCGTATTTAGTTTAAGAAAAGCTCGGTGTCAATGACAGGGCTTAATCACCTATGCGTCTAGACGAGTTGATAAGTGATTAGTCTGTGCCTACCTTCCATCTTTGGTTCTGTATGTTTTTTGTCTATGCGTTAATGTAGAGTTCCTTACGCTTTAAGAACTGAGTTTGTAGAGAACTTACTAATATTCGTTATAGACTCGATTTCATGATCGCTTCGTAACTGAAACGTCCTTTAGTTTGGTAGTAAAACATTATATTTTCATGACTACCTACTTTACAGATATTTTAACCGAAAATTATGATAGAAATTAGATAACATACATTTTTGCTTCTTCAAAATGACGAATACCTTTTCAGATATTGTTATCACATTTATTTTGTTCTTCACTTTTGTGATCTTCTCTATTATCTATTATCTACCTGCCTATCTATATGGCGATTGCAATCAACTGTTTTGTTCAAAGGTTTTCATTCATAGATTTCCCGGAAAATGTACAGATAACTCAGATAAGAACTAATAGTTCCTTTTGAAAAGTAATCTAAAGGTGTTTTATTTTATTTTGTTGTATTTTAAATATTGCCCTTATGTATGGCTCATAGTTTCAGATAATATCTGAAAACGTTTTTGAAACCACATAAAAATTGTTTCAGTATTGCATTAGGAAAATGAAAACAAACTTCGCCCCCATCGTTATTCATATAAAGTGGTAGGGTAGACGGAAAAAATGCAATTTAGAAAACTCTCCCCTTCAGGAATACCGTCAAATTCTAACATACTCGTAAAAGCATCGATGGCACATTTAAACTGATTTATCTTCCTTTGTGTCTCCCCTCATGAACGAACATACACTGAAATCTACATCTACAACTAAAGTGGCATTATACTAGAGGTAGAGTCATATAGAGTAAAAATATTCGGCAATGCACAAATTTTACTTCCTTCCTCTTCACATTTAATACGAATCGTCTTGTCGATTCTGATACCTCCTATCAATAAATGACATAACGCATTTTTTTCAGTAGAGGTTCACCTTATGACTGTTCTACAAGCTCTACCTAGCATTACCGTAACACCTATCATACGTACGTAACGTCTGCCATCATCTTACACATACTAGGTTTGTTACACGCACACATAAACCTTGATGGTTCAACAGTGTGTTCTGTGGAATGGATGCATGCCCTGTCACTTTCCTCGAATATACAGTGTGAAAGAGATGGCTAGCCGCGGGGGGAGACGCAGTCTGAATTGATAAAAGCAACAGTGCGGTCGTGACGAAATTCAGTTTGAAAAGAATCGGCGTTCGGAGTGCGTCGCGCCGCTCGCGAGGTTACGCGGCGAGGTTAAAATGTGACTGCGAGTTCTTGATGAGTGCCATAATATTATTATTGTCAGATACAGTGAACGGACGCATTTCGAAGCGTGTAGGGGCGTGCAGTGCCGACACAGCCGTTGGTGACGTGGCGCGTCCAAGGATTAAAAGTTTACTGCGACGAAAACCCACCCGTACAAAAAGTTTCATCGCGGTCTCAATACGTGCCGAACAATTGTAATCACGAAGCGTTACTATCAGATCACTCTCACTGATGTAGAGGTGCACGCGCTATTCGAAAATTCTAGAGTACACAAGGAAACACTTGTTTGTTTTGCATACCGTTCGTTTTGGCTAGTGTTTATTGGTGCCGGTTGTGTTATTGGTCAAATTATGGTTGTTACCAAAGTCGATAACATGGCCTCGTTCTCTACATACACGGGAAAACCGAAAATATTCTTCCCAAAGAAGGTAAGAGTTAGCATAGCAACGCATTGTTTACATACTAAAACTCAACAGCTTTAACGAATTTCGTTCAAGTTATGAATAAAATTATAATACATAGATAAACAACTTTATTTCCAGTCTGTTACAACACGGAAACGGCATTCTAAAATTAATACATAGATTAATGTAAACGTAAAACGTGACGTACTAGATATGTATACACGCAATGTATATTAATTAATTTAATTAATAAAAGACATTTGCATATTCAGATAGCGCATTTTCACTTTTGCGAACTTATTTTTATTCGGGTAGGAATGAGTGTATCATCTGTGGAATGAATGTAGAGTTAATTTAAATTTAAATTGCATACATTTGATACCTTTTTGTTTGTAAATGAATATACTTCTAGTTTTAATTAAGAAGTTATTTGCAATGCATATTGCGGAGGTTTAAATCAGATATTTTATTGTATAATACACAGGCAGATAGATACGAGTAGAGCCCAATTTCCGCCTCTACAAGGATACATAATACAACTTGAATGCTATCCAAACTCTACATTTGTAACCAAAATATTACTATCCTGGAACGATTCGTCGACATATTAATCAAGAGCATGCTTTTTTATGGATGTAGAGCAAACAAAGTGCTAAACCGGATCTGATGAGCACTCATCAAAGATTAAACTTTGGAAAACCCCAATAACAACGATCGACCACATCCGAAGTTTCATCACAGCATCCTGTTACTCTCACTCTCATATTGTTCACTACATCCGTGTGGCTTATTTCACACAAGGTCTTCTGTGCAATATTGTCAGTGACCTACAATAAGCCCGCGCACAATTTTAGTCTTTTCACTTCGGTCTTAACGACCGGTTTCTTATATCACGCATGGGTTAAGGGGTAAAACCGTCCTCCATCTGGGCAGTCGTAGTGCAAAAGAAACCAAGCCTTGTTGTTATGCCGTCAAGAAATAAATCTCTATGAATGTAATTTCGTTTGATATGCCCGCTTCTGTTATCAGGCTGCGCGAACGCAATACGGCAATGCTTTACGACTGCACATTAGCTTGCATGCCTGTTTATGGCACAAATTATAATTAATAGTCCTCTATATAGGTCATGGCTGAGAGCAGAACTAATGATGATAGGAATCAAAGGACTCGGAATCAACGAAGCATAATGTTATTTTTATGGGCAATGATGATTGATGTCGTGTTGATTTCAATCGCATATCTTGATGACTATAGCAATAGAATTGTATAAATAAATCAGAAATCTAGCTGCCATCAAATAATGTGCTATCTTATTGATATGCAACATCCGTAGCATATGCCTGCAGTAGCTAAAATATAATATGCCGTGTGAATTTCTAATGGGCATTTAAACTAAAAAAATGTATCTTTTTAGAATACATTTTCGTAAATAACCAATCAGAACCGGCGCCGGTCATTCAAGTCAACGAGGGCAATTTAGATAAATTGATATTAAATTGCTTAACCAAGTATTATGGACGCTTGACTACGAATATTAGTTTAGTGGGTTGCTATTAAACGGGTTAGCAAGGAACGTATCACTGCAAGTTTGCAATTAACACGTACTCGTAAATATAATTAAGTACGAATGAGTACAAGATTACTACATTTTGTAGTCGTCTTGTCTCTACCTACCTGGAAAACTATGTCTTTAATATTCTCTCGTTTCACTTTAAACTATTTATTTTTCTTCTATTCTTGGGTTTGTTACTCTACGTCTATTACAATGAAAACACCCATAACAACCATCCATCCCCAGACGCAAAAATCCTAAGAAATAGTGTAGATTGATAGAGAAAAAGTGAAGACTATTTTGGCGCTCTTTGGGGAGATCTATCTAACGGTAGACCTATGCTGAATTGATGATGATGGGTAGCATTTGATTGCAACTTACTGATTTTCACCAAAAACAGGCAAAATAAACTACCACACGTGAGGCTTAGGTACCTAGTCATTTGAGAATGATAGAGTAACGAATAACTATTCAATTATGCATTACCGTACACCTATCAAATTAACAATCTATTACAATGCTCGCATTCCAAAGTCCATTGACTTTCCTCCTTTTTGTGGAGCTTATTACTTCTTTTGTAAAAAACCTGGAATGCGTCAGAGCTAAATTGCTTATGTTCATCCATAACTGGGTGTTCCGCTAAGCGACAAACCGCGCATTCCCTGCGCGCCAGCGTGCGTGAACCGGGTGTGCTGTAGGGTTACCATATGCAATTTCAAAAGTCCTGTCAACACCCAAAAATGTCAAAAAAATGCGGCAAAATTTCTTAAGAAAACAAAGCTCATTTTACTTGTTAATAACAAATATCGTCATGTACTTGTTATTTTCTTCTCCATCTAAACCAAAAAGCTGTCGCGACGGGCCATTTGATTGAAGGCCCCGACAGCCCTGAAATGTCCGAAAAAACTCAAACGCATGGGAACCCTGACCAGGAGGAAGGGCCCTGGAATGCAGCAGGAATGTACTACACCGGCTATCTCCATGAGAGATCCCATACGATTATAGTGGTCAAGCCCCGTGAGAATTTGATCGTTATAATTTCAATGATGATTAGAGTTAAGTATTGAATTGAAACTTCTTACTAGGTATAGTTACATTGCCGGAAAAATTGGCATTATGTCCAAAAAACAGAAAAAAACCTCTAACTGTGGAATATAAGTTGACAACTTCTCAGTATCGAAATAACGGGCAGCCTCAATGCCTTATAGTAGAACATTAAACAGGATTGTAGAGACAACATAATATTTACAGTCTGGCCAGGTACATTCGTTATCGGTCTGCCTTCTGTTCTTTAACCTCATAAATAAATCATATTTACGGACTTTTGAAAAAAATCCACACAAAAACAACATCAAGATGCCCTAAGAGAAAAACAAATTAAAAGTAAAATATGGCACTGTGGGCAAAGACACTGCGATCTAGTTCTATATTATACTACATAGATCTGCTTTCCGGATTGCCTTTTTCTGTTAAACTGTCTATTTATGGAGTCGTTTGTATGTGATGATTGGAAAATATAGCATCAACCTATCAAATCGACTTCCCTAGGCGATTATTAACAGCTGTTTCCGTGTCGAACGTCGCGATAGATTCATAAATCTGATACGCAATGGACAGTTTCAAGTGAGTAGCGAATTCTTAGGTTGAGTTGTACCACCTGACTTTGACCGTAACTATAACGATAACCGGTGTTTTTTGTCTGGAGTTTGACAGATTTTTGACGTTTGTCAAAGTTAAAGAAAGATGGTGCAACGTGCAACCCAGCCTTGATGTATCTCTAATTAAAATAATTAAATTGAAGTTACCGTCTAATCTAATATGATGACGTTCAGAGAACAATGATTATTGCGACTTTGTTGTTTTCGCATGCATATTGTTTTGTTGTTGCTGGTTTATCTTGCTACAAGTATTATCGTAGCGTAACGTGTTATTGTAATATGAGCATTTTTATTAAATGCAATGGAAAACAAATATTTTATTGAAATCACTTGACCTTTTTTATCGAGTAGAAAACTACAGAGATCAAACACAGCACTTGTCTCAGGCTTTAATGTTGACTTTTGAGTCCCTATTAGAAAACAACCTTTAAAACTAGACTCAATATCGGCCTTAGATCCTGCCCTGTAGATTGGTCTAAATATTGACATTTAAACTCCTCAATCCCTGAGTTTAGCCCTCAGATCATAGAAGGGAATGATTCCCTGAGCCCATTCTGTTATACCTACGAAACTTGATAGGTACCCATTCACAATATCAAAATAAGTAAACAGTAAAGACAAGCTTTCAAGAGGCAACAAGGCAAAAGAGGCAAAAGGTCTGAGCATAGTTACTGGACTCAATTAAGTTACGAGACAAAGTCTGCGATCCAGACTTTCCTCGCAGGAAGCGGCTGGGGCTCCGAAAATAGCGTTTCCTTTCGACGCGTAAGTAGGAAGTGGACTGTACTCAGTTTTCCGGCCGCCTACACGACACTTATTGAGTTTACAACGCGTTTGCAGTGCGCCTACGCCGCCGTCTGGATTGAAGTGCTCACGCTGCGCGATACTGATGGCTAGCCATTTGCGGTCTATGTAATGAGTGCTTCGAATAAGTACTTATTAAGTACAATGCGAATAACTTTGTCCGTCTTTTGTATTTTAATGAATTTTGATGTAGGCTAGTTGGGAAGAGGATATAGGCCTTTTGTTGGAAAAAGAGATTTGAAAGAAAGTGGGAATAAGTTCGTCCGTACGTTAAAAGTTTTAAGTGTAGACCGATGAATTTTAATTAATTTTTATGTAGAGTTTGCTGGGTACTGAGAAGATAAGCCACCTTTAGCTGCAGAAATAGATTTGAAAGGAAGTGAAATAACTTTCAACAAACAAAAGCTTCTTTAAACTCATACCTACTAATTTGTAATGAGTGTTCAAATATTAACATCAATAATGTAGAGTTAGCATTTTAATTTGGATATTTTATAAAAGCAGTAAAAACTTTTGAGTTTGTTTGCATTGGAAGTTAGGTTTGTTTGCAAAATGTGTAATATTCGACAACATATTTTTGGCACAAGTGTGAGTGGTTCCGCACGTGTGCATCGCAGACAAATGAACGCGTTTGTGTAACTTGCCTATTATTTTGAATCTAGATAAAGTTGGCTACCATCCTGTCTAGATCTTAGCTGATTTTCCAAAGGTCTTAATTAGTAATGGAAAAATAGAACAAATCTATTTCTGTTCTTAACTGAATAAAATTACTCTAACTTGTTCATAGTAAAGCGGACTTTAATGTGGTAAAAATAACAAGCACAAAGACCTTTTTCTTAGTAATAATGAAAAATTTACAAGACACGAAAGTTTATGTCCACCCACGCTACTTTTTGCATAGCCATATAAGTAACCATTGATTCCTTTGAATTTCTCAATTTTGATCAACTACAAACTCAAACTCAAACATTTTATTTGTCATTAAGTAGGGTACAGGTACAGATAGAATAGGTACAGGAAAAAGCTCATTATCCTACTCAGCCAATTACATATTGCATGCAAATATCATGAAGCAATTTAAATCTATACAATTAAAAACATTTTATATCGAGTGAAATAATTAATTTAATAATATTTTGAATTAAGTGTTGTCCAGATTCATGTTTTGTCAAGAGTAAGAAATCATGTCAATAATAAAATTTCCAATCCCAATTTTACAATTAATCTACAATACATAATTGTTATAAGCTAGGTGTAAATAATATCCAAAATTCAAGGCACACGATTCCCAATTTTATACATATTGTTAGTAAATAAATTATTTTCTATTCCACCAAAAATCATCTGGATAAATAATATAAATATATTGTAATATAGAATCGTGAGAGACTTTCCTGGGTTAGAAAAATTCTACGTGGACATAGCCGCGGACCAAAGCTAGTGGAGTGACTCAGCAGGTAGAAATTTGCATTTTTATAGGCGGGTAATGCAATACAAATGATAATAAATATTATGCATTCATTAAGTTGGTAGTTAAGAAAGTAAATATTTATTGCGACTCTATCCATTCTAAAATTTTTTTAAATTCAATCGTTCTAAATTCCAATTTTAAATAGTTTTTTCATCAATTTTTTTTTCTTCATACATTTTATTTTCAGCCAGTAAATAATGCACAAATGGTGCCAGGAACTGTATCTGTTTTCGAAAATGTAATTAAAAATACAAACGCTAATACCTAAATACCTTTTTTTCTCATAAAGTTGCACTGGTTTATTTCCAGCCAGTACACTGAACCGTAAACAATAGGGCAAACTGAATACAGAAAAATATGTTTACGTACGTACTCCTTGTTACTTTTTTATTAGATTAATCAATCTGTACTGAGGTCAGATGGGACGCGTGGTGCGTTACAATTTAAGTAAGCACCTACTGTTATCTTTAATTTTCTCTGGGCACAGAGGTGACACGGTTGATTAGTGGAATTAAAACGAAATTGGGTCCATTTGAGTTTCGTCCTCAGTTGTTTTTACGAAAATGATATGTTTTTGCGCGAAAACTGCGTTTGTAATTTTTTTTTAGTTTGGTTGTCTTTTAAATCAATACCTTCCTATTTTCGCACCAAAGTTTCACGTAATCAAGGCTAGATGAATCCTAAATAAATAAATAAATACTACGTACTTTATTACTGATCGTAAATTAGATTAGTTGCTGAGAATCGAAGAAGAATATTTCTCAATGTCAAAACAAAAATATTTATTGCAACTATACTAGTAATTAATGGTGATTGGATTGATAAAATTCAGCTTATTTGTTTTGAATTTTATATGGCTAGTAATCAAAATTCGTTATTATATAAAAACAAGGTGCATTCGTTATGATTTACATCATTATAGTAATTAGCGGTATAATAACATAAATAATTCTTGTATAACAGCAATAAGCCTGCCATTTGTAATCGTTTTGTTGATCAATATAGGTAGTATTCACGTTTCATTACCAAAACTTCATTAGTTAAATTATTATTAGTAAACGAACTATGAGTCAACGGTTACAAAACAATCATTATCTGAATCATATCATATTATTATGAATGAGACAGACAGGTCGATGCAAAATCGCAGATATTATACCTACATTAATCCACAAATTGATTTAATAATCTTTAATCCGAGAACCAATTAAGAATACAAAAATGGCTCCTTTAAATTCCTAACGAAGTTGTTTTACAATACAATCTAATAAAATAGGAAATTTAAGACATTTATTCAAACTGTGAAAATTGATAATCGCCGCTTCCAATGATTATGTCCGTTTTGTTACTTTTGTTCAACCGAAACGTCCTACGCAAAGTTATTAGTTTCCTTATAAACGTATAATCGGGCAAATGATATTTACACAGCACTCTTATAGATTGGTAGGTACAGTTCACAAAATATCAGTGTATTTTTTTAAAAATTTAAATAAGGTTTTTTTTGCATTGAGAAATTAAGGCATCTGAAACAAATCTTCGAAAAAATCGAGTTCGATTTTTCCATGTATCTGCTCTACCGGTGCAGTCCTGTTGTCCCCCCTGCTTGGCCCCCCTGGGGGAGGCTCTACCTCAGGCGATAAATGACGTCAACCCACGACAGATAGTCCTAATAGCACCTGCATGAATAGCACCTATCCTAGTCCACGAAGAGCACCACTAGATATTTTGGGTCGGAGCAAGTTGCGACTTTTCGCGTGTAAGGCAACTGCTCAGTGTACATTTTTGTTGAAGTCACACTTTATAAACTTTGTTTCATTGAAGTCGTACCCGTAAAAATCTTTTTCTTTTAATTTAATTATGTAACATTTAACGCTATTTATGTATCGTATCATTCGTATCGCATAAAATTAGCTATCTCGTTGTCATTTTAGCAATAAAATGCGTCATGTTTTGACGGATATCCAGTCGCAATAGGCATAATTTTTGATATGACGTAAAAGTAACAAAAAAGATAAAGTAATACTTAAGTAAAGATAAAATATATAAACANAAAAAAAAAAAAAGTGTAAATTAAATGCTTTAACTCCTTATGGTGGTTGAGCGTCATGTTCCACAACTTCAGCTTTATAATATTAGTATAGATAGGTATATTGGCGTAATTTCCTTACAGGTCTAAAGTAATGTAATAGGCTTATCTTTCGAACAAACACAGTTATGTTATTCGTCTCAGTTTTGATTGGCTCTTTACCTGATAAGTTGACAAATAAGTTTGCAAATATTTAGTAACCTTTGATACAATCTACAGTCTACCAGCATACGAGTTTCCCAATGGGCTGTATTATATCGGGATTTCTGCCATTATGATATTTCGGCAATTGTAGGTATGCGCCACGTTCACGGATAAATTCAAGTGAATGTGGGTGTTTATTGTTAGACAAAGCTACATGATTTAAAAAAAACATGATATAATTAATTCTGGTACTGGCTAAAGGTTTAAAACAATATCCCTTTACTTAATTAAAGTTATATTTGCCATGTTTCTTTAGATTACTAATGAACTTACTTAGATAAGGGTAATATTTTTCCAATGGTTTAGTAGACGTACATTATTTACTTTAAGTTTCCAAAAATCTCACGTACTTGGAGTTTGGATCTACATAATACGTTACCTTATTATTTTAAAATGTACTCTGACGTGTGAAACTTATGAAATATTTTTCATTGCAGGTACGTTCTGAGGAATCCCTGCTGGAATCGCCACAGAAGAGCACACGATGGGTATGTCCGCTTTGCATCTCTTTGGTGGCGGGTAGTCTTTATGTAGAGTTAATAAGGTAACAAATACTAGAATACTAAATAAATAAATAGCAAAACTAGATTTTATTAAGGTCTGGGTGTAAACGATATTATTGACAGCATACTGAGCATGTCGAATGATAGCATGTGCATGTTGGTGTAGTATCAATCAATATTACTTATGACAAAAACAAAATAATTGACTCATGAAAAGTTGTAAACGATGTTAAATGGTTGTTTAATATTTTGAAGATTAAAAACTCTTTACATACGCCATGGCATAAACAATTTATTGGGTTGACTAACTTTAAAGTAAATAACTTCACAAAATATTAGTTAGTATAATTCCGTGTCCAGACTTTGCTTAGTTATAAAGCTCCTCCCACAAGGTGGACCAACGGCCTCATAAAGGCGCTGGCCTGCATCCAGGCAGGCCACTGCCAAGTAGTCGTTATGGAAATCATTGGGGGAGGCCTAAGTATAATGTTCAGCAATGGACGTCCTGTGGCTGAAATGATGATGATGAAAGCTCTCATCCAAGAGAATACATACTAAAGAAAATCTCTTTTGTAGAGATTAGAAAAACAGTTAACAGTTCTGTTCCACTTGTATTTCTCGCTTCCATTCACTAATATTGTAACTCTACATCCAGTTGTCATATTGGAAAGCTAATATTACCAGCCATTGTTATTGTATTGGCACCGAAGTGAGCTACCGCACCATTTTATTATTGCGCTGTGCGTCACTATTCAAACAATCGTCCACAAAAGGAATGTTTCTGTTTCTGTGGAAACGACATGCTTAAGGCTGTTAATGTAGAACGGTAAAATAACGTAATTCTTGAATTGATATATTGATGGTTGAGTTTTAATTGATAACTAACTAGCGCTACACGGGAAAGTTAGTAAAAAGAAAGGACGACTAACGAATAAGCGGGGAACCTTAGTTATACAATGCTCTATGTAACTGTTGTAACATATTATGTAGGTAATACTTCATAAACTATACATTATATTTTTAGTAATCATACGGACTAAGTTTTAGAATAGATGCTTAAAAAATGTCTCTGTTGTGTGTATTCACTAGGTATTTTAAATATTAATAATCTACACGACAATATAAACGTGTGACAACGTCCTTCATATTGATGTCTGATAATAATAGTCGTTGAAATTCCAAAGGAAATCTACATACAAGCATTATCTTGACTTCAGACGGATATTTATAGCTGTTGTATTAGTACCGAACAAACAAAAGCCTATCTATGTTAATGATTCAATGTACCTCGGACTGAGGTTAAACGTGTTCAATTACGTTGTAAGGCATAATGAGTTTGCAGTTGTTTTTATCAGAAGTAGGTAACGTATTATGTCTCTGTCCCACATTAAAGGGCAATCTTTGGGGAAAAGGATAACGTAGCTACTAAAAAATCTCTAATTAGGTGGACCGACGATCTGGTGGAGGTAGCTGGAAGTGCCTGGATGCGGGCACCGCAGGACCGATCGTTGGGGAAAATGGGGAGATTTTTGTCCAGCAATGGACTGACGTCATTTGGCTGAAACGAACGATATTATTTTGATTTTGATTTACGTATCCGTAAACTGCTAATCATACTCTTTCTGTATCTTCTTTTGTTTCAAAACAACCGTTAAAGACCCAAAATGACGTCCAAGATGGGCATCGATTGACCACGCAATATTCGTCTTTTGGTCACGCTATATTCAACATGATAATAACAAAGGAACAATTTCATGTCATTACTCGAGTAAACTGTTCAAAGGAGAGTCGCCATTGTTCTTTGCTCATTATGCTAATTAATGTATTCGGATTTTCCAGTTCCAGTATATTTCCACGAAAAGTTTTTTGCCTGTGCAATACAGGTAGTTAATTATTTCAAGACCCGTATTAGATACGAGGACTCAAAACTCGATTCAAAGTTCAGTCTCAATAAGAGTTTTATTTGTTGTTTTTTATAATTAGAAGCCTTAAATTTAAACATGCTGGAGTATAGATTTTCACTTGTTTTCATTAAATGGGCCTAAGAATACTCATAACGGTTTAAAATTGAGTAGGACTTGACAAGCTATAAGTACATCTAGACAAAAATATAATTAACTATAAACTCGGCTCTTTTCATATTTTTTCCCATCGCGAAAAACTAATGATCATGATACGTCATTAAGTCTTACCGCAAAGTAAGCATAAAAAGCTACATAACCATTCTAGTGGTTTGAAAATGTACTCGTACTTACATGATTGTAACTCTAAGTACATTTTCCGTATATTTTCGATATATTCGCCTGCAGAATTATCTGTGCATCTTATCTTTCAGACTTGTTCATGGGGCTTAGTCTAACACAAACATTTCAAACGTATCTGGGAGGAAACAGGGGATTTTCTATTGAGATCACCATACCCACTTGTAGACTTTCGGTAAACAGGCCTATGTGTCACAACCTTAGATTAAAACAAGTCACAACACAAGATTTATGTTTTTTTATACCCTCTTTTTAAGTAAACTGCAAAAGACAAAAGTTTATAATATTTCAAATCTAAGTATAAAATTAAATGTAGAGTGTCGTTCTAGACTTAAAAACGTCAGTTAAAAATAATACAACAATAACAAAACTTTCTAAAACTTTCATAATGCACGTAAACAGCTAAAATCCTTCACCTCCCATAAAAGTAAAAACTGTGTTACGGCAAGATACAAATTCTCATAAAAATACTTTTTGAAGGACCACACTTTGTATTTCCATAAAATGCACTACACTGACCCTTTAAAACTCAGACCCAACGATTTTTATGATATAAAACAAAGAACCACAGAGGATATAGGTGGATTAGTAACCAAAACAAAGAAAAAACTATAAATGAATCGGGGTCAAGCATTTGTCATCATACCGTAACTTTTGAAATGAAAAGCAAAGGAATTTCTCGATTATATCCTTCGGAAGGCAACAGGGGTGACCAGTCACCCCACTAGGTCAAAAAAGTCTTCATACGTTTAGTGTCAGTTGTTGTGTCTTTCTGTCGTTTGGTCTATTCTCTAATTGGAGGGAGAGCTATCAGTTGCATGCGTCAACATATCGCGTTAGGTTCATGTTTTTGATATTTTGACACTGCTGGGGTGACTCATCACCCCTGTTGCCTTTTACGTATACTTTATTTTTTCGTGTTGCTAAAGTAAATGGTTAGTTTTGGAGTAAAAATGGCTTTGTTTTCGGATTATCAAATCGAAAAATACTTTCATGGACTTGCTGATGTCAATTCCTATGATAAACGCTGCTCAGATGATAATAAGATTTCTAAAATTGAAGACGATAATCTCAGTTCAGTCGGAGGAGGAATACTTTATTTCCAATAGCGAAAATTGTTACGACGATGACGTTCTACTAGCACAATTCAAACAAAATGTGCTACTATGTAAGAACAGACATGTTTGGTCTTCTTGGTTTCATCACCTTGGAGTTAAACACCTCGACGAAATATAGTAACTCTTGCGAGAGATGCGAGAATTATAGAGCAATTACACATGGCATTCTAAATATGAACTAGGGAGGGACCTCCTGAGGGTGCACCAAAGTTATAGAAGCAGGCAAGGTGAGTGCTGTGTCGAAGAAAACTGAACAAAAAAGTTATGACATCTCGTATAAAATGTCAACTACCCCCTCATGCCCTGAAAATCGAAAAGATATTTGCTGTAACTGTGCTTTATGTTAAAAATTAATTTATTAAAAATATATAAACTGTTAAATGAAAGCATTTTTAGTTTTATAACGAAACAAAGTAATAGATCTAATCATTAATAAGTTTGATTTTTCATTACAAAGCTATTTTATTTCAAATTATATTTGTGGGGTGACTGGTCACCCCTGTTGCCTTTTGCGTATACAAAAAAAGTGTTGCCTCCCGAAGGATATAGATAATAATATCGATTAAAATGATGCAACGCGATCGCCATCCGAACTCTATGTGATGACTTCACCTTATATGTTTTTTGTGAAATATTTCAAATCTTATCGTTGATCAAACTAGTGAATCACCAATTTAAATAAAGATGATAGTTTATCGGGCACGGAATGCGCTAATCACTGAAATGTTTTATTGTTGTTTTACATTGCTTAGGTGATTCCGGGTATGCATTCCCTGAATGCCTAGATAAGATTGGATACAAATGCATAAAGTGCTGATAAAGTGACAAAAGAAATGTGGGCTGCACTGTTTTGTATGCGCTTTAGTGTGTTTCTGAGGAAAGGCTTTCGAATGCGTGCTAATATTCGAGAAAGTGGTACAAAGGTAGAAGCAGGATGTCTGGGTAGGGTGACAAGGCTATTACTTAAAGACGGACTTGTCATTTAGAAAATGTCTTAAAACTAGAGTTAACTCAAACGTGGCAGAATCATTATGCTGATTAAATTATTACTTTGTCGATGGGACAAATACGTGCAAAGAAAATTGATTCCCGAAACAAAACATGACAGTGACTTGGAGTCATCATTTTGTGCCCATTCAATAACACTTTGATATTAAGAATTCCTCTTACAACAATAGTAACAAAACCACTTCTCAAACTCTACCATCTAACAAACTATTTACATAAGGTTAGCCAGAATCGTCAGTTTGTCTGGCAAGTCCGCTTTTTTCACGTAACCTGGCAACCCTGTGGCGTGACTCACCGTTGTACTAGGCACCGGCGCACGCGCAGGTAACATCCACAATGCTGCGTATGGCAGTGATAAGCCGCCACGTGAATGAACGGTGACTCAGCGTTCGACTTCGACTCCTAGTTATTTGTTGAGGAAAGACCGACTTTTCCTTACATTTTGTTATGTACAGTAAACAATCTTAATCAATTTATTGTTTACCGTAGAGTTTAATGTAATGCTGATGGGAGGTATACAGTTTCTTGTGGCTCATATTTATTGATCAGAAGCTTAAAATGTAAACTAAGTCAACAAATAAACCGTTAGCATTTGTAG